GGAATGGCTCCTGGGTCTTGCACAGCTCCCAGAGACCCTCCTCATGGGGAGACCCTCCTCATGGAATATTCCCCACCGCTCAGATCTGCTCTCCCACTCGGATGTCGCTACTAGTATCCAAGTGCTGCTGCTGCCTGGCGAAACCAGGTCACCTTGCATTGCAGAAGGATCCCCATCGACGAAGGTGACTTATGGAAAAAAAGAAGCATGCAGGTTTTTGGAGTACGTCATTGTCCTTTTTTTAACATGCTCTTTTTGTGTCTCCCCCTCAAAGTGCCCTGGCTTTTGCAACAGGATAAGGAGCTCGGACAAGGAAATATGGTGGATCAGAGGTGTCAGAAACCACAGCTTACAACGAAGTACACGCATTCGGGAACGGTTATACTTTTATTGCAAAGCTATAGATGCAGTAACACAGGCACTGTTAAGAATGGCGGCCACCCATTGAGCATAATAGGATATAGGGCATTCGTATGCACCCCCCCCCCATGGCATGGGCCAATTAGCTACCCTCCCGCGCGCGACCAGCTAGGAAACCGTTAGGTGGCGAAAGCTGGGAAGCAGTAGTCTCTCAAGGTGGATAGGAGACTTCCAGACAATACAACCTCCAACACAACATCCTCCTGCACATCTGTAGAGATAAGCATTGCGGCACAGGCAGAACAACAGAGATAGGAATGCAATAGCAATTACCAAGACACAGAATGAACTCCCCAACCCCCTTGGCAGCATAGCTGACAAGAGGTGTGCCAGTGCCCAGAACTCAAAACTGTTGGCATTGTGTGCCAGAAACGCAGGCCTCTTGACTCTGCTGCAGTGTTCCCCCTAAACTGAGTTAGTGTGAGCTAGCTCACAGTTTTTTAGCCTCCGGCTCACACATTTTTGTCTTCACTCAGGAAGGCTGGTTCCAGAACAAACTAAATTATGCGGCGGCCAGATCGCTCGCTCACAGCCTTAATGCCAGAAGCTCACAAAGCAGAATTTTTGCTCAGAAGGCTCCACAGCTTAGAGGGAGCATTGCTCTGCTGATGTTGATGGGTTGGCGAATTAAAAAGTCGTGACTGGGCAACGCCGTGCCTAGAACTGAGCGAGGTCGGAGGGGAAGATGCAAAACTGAATTATTCAAGAGGGCTTTTTTTCTGCACAAGCAATACTGTTGCGCTGTACAGAATGATTCACAAAGTCGCTTGGATAAACATAGAAACGTAGAGCTGGAAGGGACCACCCAAGGGTCATCTGGTCCAACCCCCCGTGCAATGCAGGAAATTCACATCTCCCCCCCCCCCACAGTGACCCCCTACCCTATGTCCATGATCCCTGGGCCAATCTAGCCTAGAGGAAATTCCTTCCTGACCCCAAAGTGGCAAGCAGCATTACCCCAGGCATATGAGAAAGAGACACAAGAGCTGAGCACTGGCTCATCCCTTCCTCCCCTCCTTCGTAGAATCCGCATAAGGGACTGTGGCCTATACTACAATGCACAGCTTGCTGTAAGTAGGATCCTCCTAGGTAATTTTGGCACCGTTTAATGTGCCGTGTTAACCAGGGGTCATTTCGTAGAAAAAGAGCTAGGGGAACTCATTAGCATAACTCATTAGCATATGCCACACCCCCTGACATCACCAGAAGTGTGTCATAAGGCCACACCCCCTGACATCACCGGAAGTGTGTCATAAGGCCACACACCCCGCTCCCAACGGTCCCGGCCGCCGGCGCCGGCTTTGCAGCTCCACTGCCGAGCCCCATGAGGAGCCCGGCGGTGGACCTGCAAGGCCGGCGGGAGTGCAAGGAAGCCCCGCAAAGACCCTCCCTGACCCCAAGCAGGCAGGGGTGGGGAGAGGCAGGGAGGAAGCAACTTACCCTCCCTCTTCTCCTGCCTCCTCCTGGCTGAATGAGGGCCAGAAGCGGGGCGGCCGGAAGCAGGGGGCGGGGCTTCATCATGTGCCCCGCCCCCTATACCTCACCCTGGGGAACTGCGATCCCCCGCGTTCCCCCCCGAATCGACCTCTGGTGTTAACACTTAGGCTTTGCTTCGATTCTGGATTTTAGATGCCTGGTTCGTTCGGCAGCCCTCATTCCAACGGCATTGTTTCTTGAATCGAGTCAGACCGACGGTCCTTGAAGTTCAGCGTTGACAACCTTGCCATTTTGGTGTAGTGGATAAGTGTGCTGACTCCAGTCTGGGAGAACCAGGTTTGATTCCCCACTCCTCCACTTGCACCTGCTGGATGACCTTGGGCAAGCCATAGGTCTGGCACAGCGGCTCTCTCAAGGGCAGTCCTGGAAAGAGCTCTCTCAGCCCCGCCTACCTCACAGGGTGTCTGTTGTGGGGAGGGGAAGGGAAAGGACTTTGTAAGCCGCTCTGAGACTCCTCCTCCTCCTCCTCCAACTGTTCCATCCCACTGCTGGCATCGACTCCCTCTGTCTCATCTGCCTGGACTCCCCGTGAGAAGGAGTGGGTGGGGGGAACTCTACCCTAATGCAAATAGACAAATAAAACAGGACCAGGCCAAGGAGGGCATATGGTGAGAAGCAGGGCTATTTTGGGGCAGGAACGCACAGGAACGGAGTTCCGGCTGGCTCCCGAGTTGGCCACGCCCAGCAGGAACTCATTAGCATAATAGGCCACACCCAACAGCAGAAACTCATTAGGATTGGCTACATTAGGGGTGTGTGGCCTAACATGCAAAGGAGTTCCTGCTACAAAAAAGGCCCTGGGTTTTGACAACAAACAAGGTAAACAGAATAAGAAGCAAAAGGTGGGTGTGGCTGGATGACTATACTTCTGGTAACATGGGGGTGCAGCCTAATATGGTAATGAGTTATGCTGTCATGGGTGTGGCTGGATATGCTAATGAGTTTCTGTTGTTGGGTGTGGCCTATTATGCGAATGAGTTCCTGCTGGGCTTTTTCTACAAAAAGAGCCTTGGAGAAGTCTTGTCACCAGAGCAAATTAGAGTTCTCCAAGAGCTGAGGACAGATCTGAACACACAGGGAGCTGTCCAGCAGACGCAGGGAGCTATCCAAGCGCGGGCTGCAGGGAGCAGAGAGCCCAGACTTCCTCTAGCTCTCGGAAGCCTCGCCAGCAATGGACCAAAACAGAGGCTGGCAAGAATATTCCCTCTCCTCTCTGTGGGCTGACTGGCCGAGGTTTCGAGCCACCAGATCTGCCCTTCCAGGGGATTTTCCATTCCCCTGTTTTCTTTAGTAAACTTATGTTTCTTTTAAAACTTAAGCACAGTGTGGTGTGGCTCTTGCCTTTTGGACCTCAGCCTCTATTTAAAACAAAATCCCAACACTCAAGGTCTCTTCAGCCCAGGACCTCCGCCTTGTCTTGATGTCGAGGGGCAGACCTTGGGGTCAGAAGGAATTGTGACTGACCCAAGGTCACCCAGCTGGCTGCATGTGGAGGAGGAGTGGGGAATCAAACTTGGTTCTCCCACATTAGAGTCCGCGCTCCTAACCACTCCACCAAACTGGCTCCTAGCAGTCCTGGTTGGTGGAGCTGAACTTCAAGGACTGTCGGTCTGACTCGATTCAACCACAGCCCCCCTCACAGTGACAGAACAGGAGCCATGGAGGGACCTGGGAGGGCTTTGCAAGCGGTTTGGGCACATCTCATGGTCCCCGGGTTGCAACTGGCCCTGGCGAAGGAACAGACTCCGGGGCAGCCGTCCCCCTTCGCCTGGCCCTGTGCGGGGTTGTTATGGAAACGGCAATCTCTCCGCCGTGGCACAGATTAGGAGCAGAAACTGGGAAAGCAGGGCCAGATGGAGGCCTGATTGCCTAATGACCGGGGTCTCGGGTGGGCCGTAATCCCCTCCGTGAGCCTCACGTGCAGACAGTGGCCTGCTGCAGAGGAATTCCCCACCCATGGATTCAGAGGGGTAGGTCCCCTGTGCATCGAAACTGCGCTACCCGGCCAAGGTCAGTTCACGGAGACAAGCTGCGTTTCAGTCCAGGCAACCAACATTTGAGAGTTTCTACTTCATCAAAGATGGAAGGATTTATTTCCTGATGCCCCAGCTGGGCAGGGCCGGCATTTATTTATCCGTATCCCACTTCCCTTTCCAGTTTGTACTCGGAGAGGCTGCGGTCAGCAAGACGTCGCAAATGGTTCCCTGTGCGTGTATTGACTGCTTCCTCTCCCATCTCCGAACGATATTGCTCAGTTTCCACGTCTTACTCCCCCCAGAGAAGATGGCGTGCAACCAATGCTCCCTCTAAGCTGTGGGGGAGCCTCGTGAGAAAAATTCTGCTTTGTGAGCGACAGGCATTAAAGTTGTGAGCGAGCGATTGGGGTCTTGCCAGTGTTCCCTCTAAGCTGAGTTAGTGTGAGCCAGCTCACAGTTTCTTAGCCTCCGGCTCACACATTTTTGTCTCGACTCAGGGAGGAGGGCTCCGGAGCAAACTCGTGTATGCAGCAGCCAAATCCCTCACTCGCAACTTTAATGCCAGCAGCTCACAAAGCAGAAGTTTTGCTCACAAGATTCCACATCTTAGAGGGAGCATTGGCTCTTGCATAAATCAGTTTGCTCTGGAGCCCTCCTTCCTGTGCTGAGACAAAAATGTGTGAACCGGAGGCTGAAAAAACAGTGAGCTCGTTCCCACTAACTCAGCTTAGAGGGAACACCGGGTGCAACGTGTGGCGTTCCCTGGGAAGCCCCAAAGATGCTTTTCTTGTGTGGCGCCTGCAACTGGGCCTCTTTCCTCGCTCAACGATTCTCTGCGATCTAACTCCCCCCTCCCCTCCTCCCCTCCCCCAATTCCCTCCCCGCAAAGTGATTAGTGTCTCTTCGGGTTTACGGCCATCTGTGTGCGTGTTGACCAGGTTTTTCCCCAACTAGCCCAAACCCCTCAGCCTTGACCAGCTCCCAATGCCAAGAAACGCAAGTGCAGAAGAGACGGAAGGCAACGAGGAGGGCAAACCAACACACACACCCGTCCTCTCTGTTTGGTGTTGTGTTCAAAACAGGCCGTACTGGTGGGTTGCCAAATACCTGATATTGTCCAGGAGGAGGTGCTGGGACTCCTTGGTGAGCACCATGGTCAGAGCGTAAGCCAGGCAGTCCACCTTCCTCTCGGCGGCATACTGCTTGAGGATGGTGAACATCTTCTCTTTGACTTCCGGCTGGTCCCCGAGGATCTCCTGCACCTGCACGCGAGACAGAAGGGTGAGCAACACGGAGGAGCTGGTTTGGGACTCTCTGCCGGCACCAGGAATGCCCTCATATTGCCTGGAAGCCCGTGGTGAGTGAGCCACTGGTGAACATCACTGAAATGTCATGTCTTCTGCCCAGTTCTGGCCTCCAAGCAGTCCCAGAAATGCAAACCCACCTTTCAAAAGGAAGCCTTTGCACCCCTTCTCCATTTTAAACCCTTTTCACACAGACACACGAAGCTGACTTATACTGAAGCAGACCCTCGGTCCACCACAGTTGGTCTTGTCTGCTCAGACTGGCAGCCGCTCTCCAAGGTCTCAGGCAGAGAAAGGTCTTTCCCATCATCTCCTGCCTGGTCCTTCTTAACTTGAGATGCTGCCGGGGATTGAACCTGGGATCTTCTGCACGCCAAGCAGAGGCTCTGCCACTGAGCCACGGCCCCTCTTGACAGCTCTCCAGGGTCTCCGGCAGAGAAAGGCCTTTCCCATCACCTCCTGCCTGGTCCTTTTTAACTGCAGATGCTGCCGGGGACTGAGCCTGGGACCTTCTGCATGCCAAGCAGATGCTCGGCCACTGAGCCACAGCCCCTCTTGACAGCTCTCCAGGGTCTCAGGCGGAGGTCTTTCCCATCACCTCCTGCCTGGTCCTTTTTAACTGCAGATGCTGCCGGGGACTGAACCTGGGACCTTCTGCGTGCCAAGCTGAGGCTCTGCCACTGAGCCACAGCCCCTCTTGACAGCTCTCCAGGGTCTCCGGCAGAGAAAGGTGTTTCCCATCACCTCCTGCGTGGTCCTTTTTAACTGGAGATGCCGGGGACTGAACCTGGGACCTTCTGCACGCCAAGCAGAGGCTCTGCCACTGAGCCACAGCCCCTCTTGACAGCTCTCCAGGGTCTCAGGTGGAGGTCTTTCCTATCACCTCCTGCCTGGTCCTTTTTAACTGGAGATGCCGGGGACTGAACCTGGGACCTTCTGCACGCCAAGCAGAGGCTCTGCCACTAAGCCACAGCTCCTCCCCAGTTATTCCTAGATTTATTCTTCACAAACATTCCAACTGTTCCGTGTGACTGTGGCAACCATTCGAGTCCAGGAGCGCATTAGAGACCAGCGACAGTTTCGGAGTATGAGCTTTTGAAAACCTCCCTTGGCCCAGACACAGTAGAGCAGAAATGTAGATCTCCTGAATCCTTTCCTCCTAGTTAGAAGGTAGGAAGGGTGTTGTAAAGGATGCTTGTAAAGGATGCTAAAGTAGAACAAAGTTTGAGTCCAGGGGCACCTTTAAGACTGACAAATTTTAATTCTGGGTGTAACCTTTCATATCCATGCCCACTTCGTCAGACCTGAGGAAGTGTGCATGCACATGAAGGCTTACACCCAGAATACAACTTTGTTGGTCTGCAGCGTGCCCCTGGACCCAAACTTTGTCCTGCCGCTTCAGACCAACACAGCAATCCACCTGAATGTATACTGTGATCAGCTTGATTAGAGCATTAGGAGGAAAGGACTCAGAGCCCCATTTCTGTTCTTGCTGTGTCTGACGAAGGGACCTTTGACGCTCGGAAACTCGGAAAGACGACTGAGGGGTGACATGATTGAGGTTTACAAGATTATGCATGGGAAAGAACAGGTAGAGAAAGAGGTACTTTTCTCCCTTTCTCACAATACAAGAACTCGTGGGCACTCCATGAAATTGCTGAGCGGTCGGGTTAGAACGGATAAAAGGAAGTACTTCTTCACCCAAAGAGTGATGAACACATGGAATTCACTGCCACAGGAGGTGGTGGCGGCTACAAGCACGGACGGCTTCAAGAGGGAATTAGATAAGCATATGGAGCAGAGGTCCATCAGTGGCTCTTAGCCACAAGGTATAGATAGGGGCTCTGGGGCAAGTGATGCTCTGTCTTCTTGGTGCTGGGGGGAGGTCAACAGTGGGAGGGCTTCTAGTGTCCTGGCCCCACTGCTGGACCTCCTGGTGGCACCTGGTATTTCTGGCCACTGTGTGATACAGAGTGTTGGACTGGAGGGGCCTTTGGCCTGATCCAACATTGGCGTCTCTTATGTTCTTAAGTTCTATGTTCACACCCTAAAACGTACGCCCTAAAACTCTCATAATATTTAATCGTTATGGTGTTTTATGAATGATTTTAATTGTATTTATATATGTACTTTTATGTAAGCCGCCCTGAGCCTGCCTTGGCAGGGAGGGCGGGGTATAAATTGAATGGATAAATCATAAATAAATAATTTGGTCTCTAAGGTGCTACTGGACTGAGTTTGGTGTCGTGGTTAAGTGTGCGGACTCTAATCTGGGAGAACCGGGTTTGATTCCCCCCTCCTCCACTTGCAGCTGCTGGATGACCTTGGGCAAGCCACAGTTCTCTCAGAGCTGTTCTCTCAAGGACAGTTCTGCTCTCTCAGCCCCACCTCCCTCACAGGGTGTCTGTTGTGAGGAAGGGAAGGGAAAGGAGTTTGTAAGCTGCTCTGAGACTCCGAGTGAAGGGTCGAGTATAAATCCAATCTCCTCCTCCTCCTCCTCAGAAAGATGTGTCCTAGGCCCCTGATAGTATCGGGACGTGCACTTTTGATTGCATGCTGTTGGCAAGTGGGATCCTTAAAAAACGGAATTGCCCCGATCCCTGATCTTGCCTCTTCAGATAGACTGACCCCTTTTTCTCTGAGAGCCCATTTGGTGTAGTGGTGAGGAGTGTGGGCTCTAATCTTGGAGAACCGGGTTTGATTCCCCACGCCTCCACTTGCACCTGCTGATGTGACCTTGGGTCAGTCACAAGCTCTGGCACAGCTGTCCTTGAAAAAGAGCAGTTTGTGTCAGAGTTCTCTCAGCCCCACCCACCTCACAGGGTGTCTGTTGTGGGGAGGGGAAGGGAAAGGAGTTTGTAAGCCGCTCTGAGACTCCAAGTGAAGGGCGGGATATAAATCCAATCTCCTCCTCCTCCTCCTCCTCCTCCTCTTCTTCTTCTTCTTCTTCTTCTTCTTCTTCTTCTTCTTCTTCTTCTTCTTCTTCTTCTTCTTCTTCTTCTTCTTCTTCCCTCTAAGCTGAGTTAGTGTGAGCTAGCTCACAGCTTTGTAGCCTCCAGCTCACACATTTTTGTCTCTGCTCAGGAAGGAGGGTTCCAGAGCAGACTAATTTATGCAGTGGCCAAATCGCTGGCTCACAACTTTCATGCCAGTAGCTCACAAAGTAGAATTTTTGCTCACAAGACCCCACAGCTTAGAGGGAGCGTTGCGTCACGTCTAGCTGTTCTGAAACAAGCACCTGGTCATTGTCTGTGTGTGCCACGTTGGAGAAGAGTTGGGTCTGAGCACTCACAGAAGACTAAATTTTGCTGCTCACGAGCCGCACGCTCACCCACCCTTTGGAAAACTCCTGGACTTCTCCCCCTTGTGTCCAGGACGGCGTCTTGAGTGTTCCCCTTTCCCAGCGCCAGGAGAGGGAATGCAACTGCGAAGTGCCACATGCCAGAGGAGCTGCCAATGTTCCCTCTAGGCTGTGGAGTCTCGTGAGCAAAAATTCTGCTTTGAGAGTTACTGGCTTTAAAGTTGTGAGCCAGCAATTTGGCTGCTGCATAAATCAGTTTGCTCTGGAGCCCTCCTTCCTGAGCTAAGACAAAAATCTGTGAGCTGGAGGAGGCTAAAAAAATCGTGAGCTAGCTCACACTAACTCAGCTTAGAGGGGACACTGGCTGTGACACAACTTTGCACGAGAAGGAAGACAGGAAGAGCTGCAGGCCCCCTCCCTGGGTGCCCGTCCCACTTCTGTGCTCTCCAAAGCCAGTTATCGCCGGCATTTGCAACCTAGATCCCGAAACCGCAAGGCCTACACGCCAGTCACGTGATCGGGACTGTCATCCTCATGAGGCGTCAGACATTTGAAGGTGACTCCGTCTGGAGAAGCGCAGCTGCCTCGCGGTTCTTTGAACGCAGCAGCAGAGACGGAGGAGGAGGAGGAGGAGGAGGAGAGACCGAGAGGGAACGGTTGAATCCTCCGCGGAGGTAGTCCACTTCTCATCATTTCTAAAAGTTTCCTATCTGCACGGTCTACCCTTGCTCACCAGTAACTGCCACTTGTGTTACATGCTTGTCACAGTTTTGAAAAGTGTGAGCTTATCTGAGCCCCCTGGGACTTACAGAAGCTCAGGCAAGCCTGATCTCGTCACATCTCGGAAGCTAAGCAGGGCCGACTCCGGCAAGTACTTGGATGGGAGACCTCCAAGGAATACCAGCAGTCGGGAGGCGGGGGCAGGCTTTACTCAGCCACCTCTATGAATATCCTCCAGGCCCCCAGTAGGGGTCGGTCACCACAGGTCGCCATGACTTCCAGGTGCACAACACTCACATGCATACACACATATGAAAAATACAGAAGTTGGATTCCGTTTCTTGTCCAGAGGAAACTGGGGGGGGGGGGAGGCCAAGGGGCTATGCTTCTGCAGAGTGCAGGGGGTTGGACTAGATGACCTGCAAGATCCCTCTTAACTCTAACATTCTATGATTCTATGACTCACACATTTTTGTCTCCGCTCAAGCGGGAGGGCTCCAGAGCAAACTAATTTATACAGCAGCCCAATGGCTTGCTCACAGCTTTAATGCCAGTAGCTCGCAGAGTAGACTTTTTGCCCACAAGACTCCACAGCTTAGAGGGAGCATTGCTCACAGGCAGGGCTCTTTTTGTAGAAAAAGCCCAGCAGGAACTCATTAGCATAATAGGCCACACACAACACCAGGAACGCATTAGCCTATTAGGCCACACCCCTGACAGCACAGCTCATTAGCACATTAGGCCGCACCCCCATGTTACCAGAAGTGTGGTCATCCAGCCACACCCACCTTTTGCTTCTTATTCTGTTTACCTTGTTTGTTGTCAAAACCCAGGGCTTTTTTTGTAGCAGGAACTCCTTTGCATGTTAGGCCACACACCCCTAATGTAGCCAATTCTAATGAGTCCCTGCTGTTGGATGTGGCCTATTATGCTAATG